GTCCGTGTGTGCAAACGTGCCCGTGACTGGCGTCTGCTGTGTGATGAAGAACAGGGTTCTGGAGAGCTCGGCCCACGGGGTCGTTACACAGATCGATTCATGCGGCGAGAAACACCATCGCTGAGGCACCAAAGGCCAACAGATGAAAAACAAACACCGGCCTGTTCCTGTTCCCGCTCATTAATGTGCGTTACACCCTCCACATCCAATCAGACAGTGTTCATTCACACGGTGTCGGTCAGAGCCGCCGCATGTGCCAATATATTGACTGACGCGAAGGCCTGGGAAAGATGGAGTGATGCAACTGAAGGAATAGAGTCTTCAAGGAAGCCATGATGACAGAATACAAGAGTCAGAGAGAGAGAGAAAGAGGGGGAAAGTCATGTGACACTAAAGTCTGGAGCAATGATGCTGAAATTCAGCTTTGCATCAGGAATAAAAATGCAACCAAATATATATATATGTTCAAATAGTAAACTATGGAAGCTTGTTTCCGCCACCGAATAAAAAAGGTAATTGTGACTTTTTATCTCGCAATTCTCAATTTTTATCTCAGAATGTGTGATATAACTAACTCTGACCTTATATCACGCAATTCTAACTTTATATCTCACAATTCTGACTTTATTTCACGCAATTCTGACTTTATATCTCGCAATTCTGACTTTATATAACGCAATTCTAACTTTATATCACGCAATTCTGACTTTATATCTCGCAATTCTGACTTTATTTCACGCAATTCTGACTTTATATCTCACAATTCTGACTTTATATCTCGCAATTCTGACTTTATATAACGCAATTCTGACTTTATATCACGCAATTCTGACTTTATATCTCGCAATTCTGACTTTATATCTCGCAATTCTGACTTTATATCACGCAATTCTGACTTTATATCACGCAGTTCTGACTTTATATCTCGCAATTCTGACTTTATATCACGCAATTCTGACTTTATATCTCGCAATTCTGACTTTATATCTCGCAATTCTGACTTTATTTCACGCAATTCTGACTTTATATCATGCAATTCTGACTTTATATCACGCAATTCTGACTTTATATAACACGCAATTCTGACTTTGTATAACACGCAAATTCTGACTTTATATCACGCAATTCTAACTTTATATCTCACAATTCTGACTTTATATCTCGCAATTCTGACTTTATATCTCGCAATTCTGACTTTATATCTCACAATTCTGACTTTATATCTCGCAATTCTGACTTTATATCTCGCAATTCTGACTTTATATCTCACAATTCTGACTTTATATCTCGCAATTCTGACTTTATATCTCGCAATTCTGACTTTATATCTCGCAATTCTGACTAAATGTCACAATTCTGACTAAATTCTGACTAAATGTCACAATTCTGACTTTTTATCTCGCAAATCTCAATTTTTATCTCAGAATGTATGATATAACTCACTCTGACCTTATATCACGCAATTCTGACTTAATATCTCGCAATTCTGACTTTTTATCTCGCAATTCTGACTTTATAGCTCACAATTCTGACTAAATGTCGCAATTCTGACTAAATGTCACCGTTCTGACTTTTTATCTCGCATTTGTCAATTTTTATCTCGGAATGTGTGATAACTCACTCTGACCTTATATCACACAATTCTGACTTTATATCATGCAATTCTGACTTTATATCACACAATTCTAACTTTATATCTCGTAATTCTGACTAAATGTCGCAGACCAAATGTCGCAATTCTGACTAAATGTCACAATTCTGACTTTTTATCTCGAAATTCTCAATTTTTATCTCAGAATGTGAGATAACTAACTCTGACCTTATATCACGCAATTCTAACTTTATATCTCGCAATTCTGACTTTTTATCTCACAATTCTGACTATGGCCCCTATTTTAACGATCTGAAACGTAAGAAACAAATTTTGTTTTACAAATGTTTAGCATTATTTTCCTATTATCATTTTAAAGCTGGTTTGAAACACTCTGTATTATAAAAAGAGCCTTGCAGATATAAGTGACTTGACTTTTTGCAGCATTTCTGATAAAGCAAAATTAAGCAGAAGAGACTTCTTTCAAAAACAATAAACAAATACCTAAATTTGAAATGTGTGTATGAAATGCTATTGTTTTGGTAAGACTAGCGTTTTGCAGTGTGGTTGTGTTCTGGGTGTTCGTGGGAAATGCAAATCCTGGACAAACATGCAAAACTGCTATTAAAATGCGCAATGGTTGAGTGAGAAAAGACGAGGATCAAATCAATATCGGCGACTCCGGCTGGGAATCACAGTTGTGTGATTGACACTTCACAGAATTAAACTTTGGTGGATCCATCACGCTGTGTTTTTTGTTCTATCAGCAAACCTGTTACACACTCACACCACCAAACCATCAGTAAAACCGAACACAGACTAAACGCTCAACTTCACATCAGTGGCATGAAAAGCAAAACTAAAATTTGATTTATGCACAGAATGTGGAAGAAAAGCACTGTTACTGATAGACCTAAATATAATTTAAACACCTCTGATTTACTAATGCATTCATATGCATAATTCTCATGTCAGCAAATGCACACTTTAAATAGAAAACTTTGATGCAACAGTTAAATAATTAAATATATAAAAGACTGTGTTTTTGTAGCTCATCTCATCCTGCTATTTTTCTGCTCACTCTTTATTCTCACGAATGTGTTTGCATTGCACGTGTTTTTCTCTCCTGGCAATAGACAATCAAGTCTCTGTTTCCCATTAAAATATCATATTTGTCAGTGTAATACAGAAGAGATTTTAATCTGCGCTCTCGGTTACGGTTCACCTCACCTCGTCAGTCTGGGGTGTTTTTCCTCTTTCATCATAATTGTTTTTTTTAATGTTGCCGATCACAGAACGTGCGTTTGCAAAAATGTCGCATCTGAAACAAAGTGTTATCTTGCACTGTTTTTCAGTTGATTAATGTTCAAAGAATCACGGCGTAACAACACATCAGCTGTAATAATCAGTAGAAGCATGAGCGACGTCTTGCGCATCCAAAAGCTCTTAAACCTCTGGTGTTTGTCAGTCTAATTCTGGCTCTGAACGCAGAAAGTTTAGCAGTTCTGGCAGCGTCTCAAGATTTGCCTCGGAGAAGCTCAAGGTGAATCTGTTGGGTTTATGTTCAAGTATCAAATAAATATTTAAAGCACAACATGACTGAAGTTTTGCTTGACAACTGATAACAGGCCTCTAACCCTCCAGACACAAATTGCAAGACAAAACAAAGGCTGTCTGGTGATTTGTATGATTAATCAAGTGACTCGCTGCAGAGCTCCTCCTCTCTGGACGTAATGGGCGGGGCTTCACATAGTCATGCTCCGCCTCTGAACACCTAATGGGTGGGGTTATGTTTAGCGATAAGGTTATAGGTAGTGTCAGGGTGTGGTTGGACCATCTAGCTCATCCTGGCAGCCATCCAAAACACCATAGAAAGCACCTAGCAACACCCTGGTAACCACCCAGAAAACTCTATTAACTGCTTAACAACATCCTGGCAGTGGCAACCATCCAAAACACCCAAGAAACCACCGAGCAACACCCTGGTAACCACCCAGAAAACCCATGCAACTGTTTAGCAACACCCTGGTAACTACCCAAAAAACCCTAGAAACCACTTAGCAACAACGCCCTGGTAACCATCTAGAACACTCTAGGAACTGCTTAGCAACATCCTAGCAACCACTTGGAACACCGATGCAACTGTTAGCAATATCCTGGCAATCATCCAAAACACCATAGAAAGCACCTAGCAACCCCCTGGTAACCACCCAGAAAACTCTATTAACCGCTTAACAACATAATGGCAACCATCCCAAACACCTTAAAAACCACTTAGCAACGCCCTGGTAGCCACCCAGAACACTCTAGCAACCATCTCAGCTTATTAACAACACCCTGGTAACCACGTAGAACACCCATACAACTGTTTAGCAACACCCTGGTAACTACCCAAAAAACCCTAGAAACCACTTAGCAACAACGCCCTGGTAACCATCTAGAACACTCTAGCCACTCCTAGCAACCACTTGGAACACCGATGCAACTGTTTAGCAATATCCTGGCAATCATCCAAAACACCATAGAAAGCACCTAGCAACCCCCTGGTAACCACCCAGAAAACTCTAATAACCACTTAACAGCATAATGGCAACCATCCCAAACACCTTAAAAACCACTTAGCAACGCCCTGGTAGCCACCCAGAACACTCTAGCAACCATCTCAGCTTATTAACAACACCCTGGTAACCACGTAGAACACCCATACAACTGTTTAGCAACACCCTGGTAACTACCCAAAAAGCCTCTTAGCCACTTAACCTCTTAAACCACGGCAATGCCCTGGTAACCATCTACTGTAGAACACTCTAGCAACTGCTTAGCAACATCCTAGCAGCCGCTTAGCAACAATCTTTCAAAACACCCTAGAAACCACCTAGCAATTCCCTGGTAACCACCCAGAACTCCCTATTGAATGCTTAGCAACCTCCTGGCAACCTTCCAAAACACCATAGAAACCACATAGCAACACCCTGGTAACCTCCCATAACACCCTAGAAACTATTTTGAACAGTGAAAGTCTCTTTTTGAGAGGATGATTTCAAAAAGCAAATAGTCCATTATGGTACATACAACACCCCAGTTCTGACTGGATATTTTGGATATTAAATTGGATATTATATATTCTGGATATTTTGATGTTTGTTGTGAGCAACAAGCATAAAAGACAACAAACACGGCATAGTGTAAAGCTGAAGAAGTTAATGTGTGTGTTCATTGGGACAGTTCATTCTGAATCAACCCCCTTCTGTTCTGTCCATACTGTGCTCCAAGTGGGCCAGAGGTTAGAATAACTCAAGAACACTGTAAAATAATATTCTCAGTGGCCTATTTAAATCTCAAGCATCACAATTGGCAGGGTTACAATGTTATCTTTAGCAATGCATATGTACAGTATGCGTTTACTTACTGTAAAGATCTTATTGTGGTTATCCAATGTCGTCTGTCTCTGGCAGGCATATGCAGACACAGCAGACTCTGGTTTGCCTGACGGATGTGCACAAGACCTGTGATCCACAACAGGATTCTGCTCATAAAGAGAGAAAGAGACAAACAGAAATCAATCAACATTAGACCAATATACCGATAAACATCTTGCAATATGAGAAAACCATTTCACAAAACCTCTCAATATGAAATGTCTCTCTAAACTCACTGTCATACATACTTTTATAAGTGGTGTCTGCTAAAACAATTGCTGATGCTGTTCTGAAAAAAAAAACGATTGACTTACAATGAAGGAGGGACCCTAGCAACTGCACAGAAGACCCAAGCAATTGCATAGCAACACCATAGCAACCACCCAAAATACCCTAGCAACTACATCACATTTTAGCAACCACCTAGCAACATACAATGAAGGAGGGACCCTAGCAGCAACCACCCAGAACACCCTAGCAAGCAATGGCATAGTAACACCCTAGCAACCGCATAAGATCCTATAGCAACCACCTAGAATAGCAGACACTTACAACGAAGGAGGGATCCTAGCAACCAGTCAGAACAACCAAGCAATTGCATAGCAACAGTCTAGCAACCATACACAGTAGCATCGTAGCAACCACCTAGAATACCCCATCAACTGTATAACAATACCCTAGTAACCACTCAGAACACTTTAGAAACTGCATAACAACCACCCAGAATACCCAAGTAACTGTGTAACAATGCCCTAGTAACCACTCAGAACACTTTAGAAACTGCATAGCAACCACTCAGAATACCCCAGCAACTGTGTAACAATACCCTAGTAACCACCCAGAACACCTTAGAAACTGCATAGCAACCACCCAGAATACCCCAGCAACCGTGTAACAATGCCCTAGTAACCACCCAGAACACCTTAGAAACTGCATGCCAACCACCCAAAATACCCCAGCAACTGTGTAATGATACCCTAGTAACAACCCAGAACACCTTAGAAACTGCATAGCAACTACCCAGAATACCCCAGAAACTGTGCAACAATACCCTAGTAACCACCCAGAACACCTTAGAAACTGCATAGCAACTACCCAGAATACCCCAACAACTGTGTAACAATACCCTAGTAACCAAACTGCATAGCAACCACCCAGAATACCCCAGCAATTGTGTAACAATACCCTAGTAACCACCCAGAACACCTTAGAGACTGCATAGCAACCACCCAGAATACCCCAGCAACTGTGTAACAATGCCCTAGTAACCACCCAGAACACCTTAGAAACTGCATAGCAACCACCCAGAATACCCCAACAACTGTGTAACAATACCCTAGTAACCAAACTGCATAGCAACCACCCAGAATACCCCAGCAATTGTGTAACAATACCCTAGTAACCACCCAGAACACCTTAGAGACTGCATAGCAACCACCCAGAATACCCCAGCAACTGTGTAACAATGCCCTAGTAACCACCCAGAACACCTTAGAAACTGCATAGTAACCCCCCAAAATACCCCAGCAACTGTGTAACAATACCCTAGTAACCACCCAAAACACCTTAGAAACTGCATAACTGCAAAGCAACCACCCGGAATACCCCAGCAACTGTGTAACGATACCCTAGTAACCACCCAAAACACCTTAGAAACTGCATAGTAACCCCCCAGAATACCCCAGCAACTGTGTAACAATCCCCTAGTAGCCACCCAAAACACCCTAGAAACTGCATAGCAACCACCCAGAATACCCCAACAATACCCTAGTAACCACCAGAACACCTTAGAGACTGCATAGCAACCACCCAGAATACCCCAGCAACTGTGTAACAATACCCTAGTAGCCACCCAAAACACCTTAGAGACTGCATAGCAACCACCCGGAATACCCCAGCAACTGTGTAACGATACCCTAGTAACCACCCAAAACACCTTAGAAACTGCATAGTAACCCCCCAGAATACCCCAGCAACTGTGTAACAATCCCCTAGTAGCCACCCAAAACACCCTAGAAACTGCATAGCAACCACCCAGAATACCCCAACAATACCCTAGTAACCACCCAGAACACCTTAGAAACTGCACAGCAACCACCCAGAATAACCCAGCAACTGTGTAACGATACCCTAGTAACCACCCAAAACACCCTAAAAATATTATACCATTACATAATGTTATAAAACATGATATCACCCATAGCACCCCAGCTAACACTCTAAAAACACCCTAGTAACCACCCAAGACACAGTACCCTAGCAACCAACACCTACAACATCTTCACATCACGGTGAAATCGTTTGCAGGGGGAAAGTCACATTATCTTCAGAACACGTGAAAGTCTCGTTATGCCTGACATTAGCTCAACAACGCTGGAACGTTTATCTCATCACACAGCCTGTAGTCAGGGGAACAGCAAGATAACGCCCGTCATCCAGAAGACAGGAAGCATCAGAATCAATTACAGCTTTATGATTTACAATTACGGCCATAAAGGACACAGTAGGTCCAGTTTATCCCGGATAAATTGCTCTTTCATTTAGACCTTGAAATATTCAACTCTGTCCTGCTTTCAAAAGGATTACAGCTGTAATGTCAGCGCTCCTGGGAATAATTGCTCAAAGCGATGGAAGTCTGTACCCATGAAAATTACCTGCGCAATCATCTCGGCACATTGTGATAATGGCCGATTCAGAGATGCAGGGGAAGTGAATGCTAACATGCTGTTCTGACCGGGAGCTATTTTAGAGGCGTCGTGTATCTGAATGAAAAGAGGCCTGATATCTCCTCTCCCCTCGAGCAAAAACATCAAGCGCTCAGAAGTGAGAAAAATCACTGCCATTTATTTGCCGTCAGGGGCGTCACCTCCTTCACGAGCATGAAAAGTCTGGATATAATGCCTGTATTATGTCTATTTCAGGGCAAATAAGAAACTGGCCTCTTTTTTTCCATTAAGTTATGATAGTTAAAGGCACTTTTGAAATTAATTTCCCTTCCCATGACAGCAGACCTCGCTGCGGGTGTCTAACTTCAGATGCCTTTTCATTTCCACTCAGAAGCAAAAAAAAAAACGTTTCGAATGTCTAAAAAAATTACATATCAAACCAGCCTTAGGAGTTTTAGCGGAAATGTCTGAGAAAAAGCTAATACGTAATTTTTCTCTATGTCTCCTGATCTATAATTGAGCAATGCGGAGAAATAACGTTCACTCATGCAACAAATGAATAGTTCAACAATGAAACTCGGATTGCTTCCCAACCAATCAATGTCAAGTATTCTTCATAATGTCTCTATATAACCTCGACACATCAAACGAAGGCAATATTGGGCTGTCAAAATGAACGAAAAGCTTAATTTGAATTTCTTAAAATATTAGCAAAATTCAAATTCTAAAGCCAATACTGTGTTAGAGGACAAAAGGGCGCAAGCGAGCGCAATGAGCAAATATAAATCAAGCTAAGCATTGCATCTTTTATTGTGCATTAAATTTTTGTTCTTAAATAAAATTATAATTACGTTAATGTGCATGGCAAGGAAAATTAGGTAACAAAAGTGCACAAAACGTTCGTCAACAAAAACACCAGATGGTCAACTTGATCACACGCATCTCTGGCCGATTAATGCAGGTTTGGCTAAGTATGTCGTTGCATGACGTTGCATGACGTTGCCTTCAGCTCCATTGTTAATTAATGAATTCGCGTTTTTTTTAACGAAATTAATTTTTAACGACTCAAGACAATGATCTGCCGCCACCTGCTGGCAGTTTTAGGATACGTTTACAAGACAACGATATGCTTAAGCCTATGTTTATGCGGAAACGATCTGAAGAGAAAACGCAAAAGTGCCGTTGCGTTATCGCTTTTTATTCTGCGTTTAGACGAGTATAATGGGTGGGAAATCCGCGTGCGTATGGTGACGCAAAAGTGTGTGAAATTCAATGTAGTGTGCACTCCAGGCGGCTAGGTGGCGATGTGAAGCTCTGCGACACAACAACACCGAGTCTGCGCGCCTGCGAACAACCTTCACTGTCTAGCAGATTTTTGCGTTTTTACCCTTAAGACGGGAACGCGACGGTGGAGCGTTTTTAAGATTTCCGCTCTGGAGGGTCGTTTCACTTTTTAAGCCCCAAAAACGCCGTCGCCGTGTAAACGAAAGGCACATCCGATAAAATATTTTTTACGTTTTCACCCGCGAGCGTTCGTGTAAACAGGGCCTAAAACTGAGAAGTTTTTCATTTGAGCTTTCCGCATGCAGACGACATCATCAAAACGATCCCAGTTCACACAGATCAGTGGAAACGACTAAAAACGCTGTATTGACGCATGACGTCATCATCTTCAGAGATTCACGTTTTTGTTGTTTACACAGAGACCGCTTTCAAAACCTTCAGAGGTTTGGGTTTTCAGGCCATTGTCATGTAAAAGAACAGCCGAAAAGCATACAAAGTTTTACGTTTTTAGTTTAAAAAAAAAACAGCCTCTTAATATAATTTCATTTTAGCTTAGTGGCTGTTTTCGTTTATTTTAACAATAGTTCTGGTTCAAGAGATAGAATATGTATATAAATAGACTGTTAAATATAACAGTTTTACTTTTTAAGCCCCAAAAACGCCGTCGCCGTGTAAACGAAAGGCACATCCGATAAAATATTTTTTACGTTTTCACCCGCGAGCGTTCGTGTAAACAGGGCCTAAAACTGAGAAGTTTTTCATTTGAGCTTTCCGCATGCAGACGACATCATCAAAACGATCCCAGTTCACACAGATCCGCGGAAACGACTAAAAACGCTGTATTGACGCATGACGTCATCATCTTCAGAGATTCCCGTTTTTGTTGTTTACACAGAGACCGCTTTCAAAACCTTCAGAGGTTTGGGTTTTCAGGCCATCGTCATGTAAAAGAACAGCCGAAAAGCATACAAAGTTTTACGTTTTTAGTTTAAAAAAAAAACAGCCTCTTAATAATATCATTTCATTTTAGCTTAGTGGCTGTTTTTGTTTATAGTTCTGGTTCAAGAGATAGAAAATGTATATAAATAGACTGTTAAATATAACAGGGATAATAATGCTTTTGTCTGAGAATAGACTTTCCGTGAACATGACGAAAC